TTCCGGCGGTCTGTAAATAATCGAGTCTGGACCAGACAATCCAGTGATCAACAGCATGAGCGCTATCTGCGAAATAACTGATGGTGATAGTATGTTTTAAAATTACCATTTTGGTAAATGTGCATCTACAATTATGTACTTTTAGAACACAGCAAATACGGGTATGTGTTATTTTGGCAAGAATGAATTAAGTTCCGTCCACATTCTTTAAATAATAACATCCCTTGCATTTTCAGGCAACCAACCTGCATACACTACAACGATTACTACTTCTATGTTGTCATCTGAGAGTGGGGGTTCGAATCGGATGGGACTCCAAGAGTACTAGAATCTGTACTTTGATGAGAAAAGAGTAATCCCAACATATAACGTGTGCTGAAAAAGATCTCAAAACGAGAACGTTGTTTGAAATTTCACTCTTTTGCACCTGTGGCTATAAAAAAACACCAACATATGAATTGTGCGAAAGTTGTTACATTTGACAGAAACTGTGAACTGCCCCATACCTGAATGACACAAATATATCAAAAGTATATGAATGTTTATGTGTAAGTTTATTTATTCAATCTAAAGAATGGCTTGTCATAAATGATGCTATTCCCCAATATGACAACAGTGAGGGTTGCACACCCATAAATATAAGGGAGGTAACTCAGATCATGGGAAACAAACCGTATATATAATAAAACATATACAATATATTTCAAAATATTTTCAGCATTGGATTTATATGATTGTAAAACACAGTGGAAATCACTTTTCAAAAATATTTAAGTCGTTTGTTATTGTACACATAATCCCCAAAACACCATATATGTACACTTGTTTTGTACGTCGTGGTCATGTACAACAATGTTGATGTATGACATCACTACCGGTGACCGACCTTCACAAAACGGCACTCAAAATGTGCGTGTTCTGCGATACTTTGTGACTGATCTTTCGTTGATTCCGGGATCGTGTCTTCATACATGAGTGGATGTACAGTGCATGTACTTAGAAACATTCTGACAATCCAGCGTACAGCTATCTATTTTCGTAGCAACTCAAACCAAAGGAAAATCACTGTTAGCTATGCCGATAAATTCCGTCAGTCATTGCCGTCACGCAGGACCAAAAGCTTCGCCAATTTGTATTGAATTTACCAAATCATTGCATTGTATCAATTATTTATTTCAAAGTTCTTGCTTACCATAATCATCAAATGTATTATTTTAATAATAAAGCCAATGAATACAACGAATAGAAGAATGGACATGTCAATATTTTTTTTACTTGTCTACATTTCATAAAAATGGCGTCTTCAGAGCACAAGCCATGTGACAGGGTTTGTTTTCACACCTCATATATTTCGCTTGTTTCTATGGAAACACTTTGTATTGCTGACAAATATCCTTAGTAATTTGATTCTAAATTGTTTGCGGAATTATGGGATGTATGAGTTGAGGCTCAGTGTGAAGTATACAGGATGTGAAAGGCGACGTTTCAGAATGTACTTACTACTGATTTGATGAAAAGCACATATCAGTGATCATCACTAATATTGTATTTTCACATTACAATCGAGGATATATATATATATATATATATACGATTTGTACAGTTCAACAAAATATGCACCAAATGACGCCGTGAATGGCGATTTTCGTACCATGTGATGTACATACTTTCTTCTAGAGGTTATTTTTCGGTAATTTTACTTTGCCTGAAATGACGTTTATTGGCTTGTTTATCGATTATTTACAGGTGCTGTCATATAGCTGGAATACTAGAGTGGCACATCGGCCTCGGCTGTAGATTAACCGGAGATTAAGTTTACATAAAGGATGCAAACATTTGCCTCTTTCATACTGGCATCACACCATGGGCCGAGATACAACGTAGGACATACCATAAATCAATCACTCAAGTGCAAAGTTTGTATCGCGCTTAGTACAAAGTGCAAGGGGAGATAATTACAACAAAGGTCACTATGTGGCGCTGCCCACGTTGTCATGACGATTCCATTATTGTCACGACGCCATTGTAGCAGTTGCTGACAGTTGTCACTATACTTGTAGACATAGTTTCGTTTTGTGAACACATTTAGAAACAGTATTACGATCATGAGACCATTGCATCTTCCCGGCAAGACACTATGGACATTTTCTCAGTACTGACTGTTTGTTTCTCCAGAGTTTTGAATCTGTAACTGTTTGTAACATATGAAGGCGTTTCCTATTCTCGCGGTTCTTACGGATATCGGCTGAAAAAAATAACACAAAACAATTCTTATCGTATGAATGCTTGTTGTTTTAAGTGAAGGGTCTTCTCCTCTAACATCTACATCCATCAGCTGCTTTAGATCCATCAGGTGAATTACCCTTTGTGAGCCCGGTGATAAACAATGCCATCCGCCATTGACGACATGAGGCTTCTCCCATTCTCGCGGTATAACGAGAAAGTAACTGTGGAGTGCATGGAAGAGCAATCCTGCCGGAAAGGGCGGAGAAAAGTTATGATATGTCCAAGTTGGTATAAAGCTTCTCAAATATTCGTGACATTGCAAGATTTTGATCACTCAAGACAAGGGCCACTTCCACAGTGACCGGTCGGCAAAGGTTAACAACCGCTCCGTTTCGTGCATCGGAGATATCGGCAGAAACGTGTTTACCGCGAGAATAGGAAACCCGCGAGAATAACATTCCGATGGGGATGCATTCTTATCTATCATATCTTTTTACATAACGTAGTTAGATGTAATATTATGTACTAAATACCATCAATGGAATTTACATTAGTATTATGAGTGGATTATTAAGTTAGAGATCATTATCATTATCACGGAACAGTCCCCGGCGACGTGACCTGTTGCAACATAATGAATCTCTGCACCCATCCATGTGCTACTTCGTACGTTATGGTTGATTTCGCCAGTCAGTTTTGGCGTCATTGGCACAAACAAGACCCTTCAAGGCGCATCATACACTGTTTGACAATAACTAGATTCGACCTGGGTGGTAGTATACCACACTGAGTAGCAACAGGAGGATGGAATCATGATCAAGATTAATTGGGACACTACTAGGGCTGCGCAATATAACCGGTTTACCGGTATTAACCAGTTTCAGACATGAAAACGATACGTATTGCGATACGCTGATAGAAAACCGGTATTTTGACTTGTATTCGGAAAAACTTCGTAATACTCGGAAACCTTGATGATTGTGGCAATTGTGGGTAATGTTGGTGGGAATGATCGTGGTGAAAATTACATTAAATATAATCTTTATTCTTTTGTCATGATTGAAAGTTTTTATTAAAAGCTTAATGAAGCATAGTGATTTTTTGTGGTTTTTGCTTTATAAATAAAGCGTTAACTTGATCTTCTTGCAATATATTGCAATACATATCACAATATAAGCTTTTCGCATCGCAATATATCGCAATATGAAAATTCTCTGCAATACCCACCCTAGACACTACCCCGACACACACTAAATCCTGTAGTCCCATATCACAACAGACACTGCCGAGAATCAGTGATATATCTAAATACTAGAGGTGACTACTGGCAACACACTATTGCCGACCAACCATTGCAATACTATTGCAATAGTTTCTTTCCCTCCTTGTATTGACTCATCTGAAGTCATTTCCCAAATGCATGTATAGTTTATATCAAATAGAATCAAGGATTGAAATAGTTTTGAATCTCTTTGAATTACTGACAAGAAACTTGAAATCCAGATCAAGTATACAGATAAAACATAAATTCAATGAAGCCGCAAGTCTGCACCCAAACAATAAACAACACAAAATATCACAAATATTTCATAACGATTTTGTGCCCTCATTTTATCAACGAAAGTCAATTACTAAACTATCGATAGTCACACATACTATCGATGCATCGATAGTTTTCGTGTCTACCATCTGAGAGGGGGTTCGAATCGGGATGGGATTCAAGAGTACTAGAATCTGTACTTTGATGAGAAAGAGTAATCCCAACATATAACGTGTGCTGAAAAAGATCTCAAAACGTGAACGTTGTTTTGAGAATTTCACTTTTGCACCTGTGGCTATAAATGGTGTAGAGTATCAAATTTCCTATCTGGTGGTGTAAATTCAAGAGGAAATACGGTTTGAAAAAGGACACTGCTAAGTAGTTGTCCGAAATGTGTTAGAACTATGAAAGAACTATGAATAATGTTATGCGTTAAAACACCAACATATGAATTCAGCGGTAAAGTTGTTACATTTGACAGAAACTAAACTGAACTTTGCATACCTGAATGACACAAATATATCCAAAGTATATGAATGTTTATCTAAATAAGGTTTATTTATTCAATTTAAAGAATGGCTTGTCATAAATGATGCTATTCCCCCAATATGACAACAGTGAGGTTACACACCCATAATTATAAAGGAGGTAACTCAGATCATGAAAACAAACGTATATAATAAAAATATATACAATATATTTCAAAATATTTTCAGCATTAGTTTATATGATTGTAAAACACACAGTGAAATCACTTTTCAAAACATTTAAGTCGTTTGTTATTGTACACATATAATCCCAAAACACACCATACATGTACTTTGTTTTATGCGTCAGATCATGTACAACAATGTTGATGTATGACATCACTACCAGTGACCGACCTTTACAAAACGGCTCTCAAAGGCCGGCGCTTCGCGGTACTTTGACTGATCTTTTGTTTTGACAGAAGCTATTGAACTACCCTTACCTGAATGACACAAATACCATCAAGAAATATGAATGTTTATGTGTAAGTTTATTTATTCAATTTAAGAATGGCTTGTCATAAGTGATGCTTTATTCCCAATATGACAACAATTGAGGTTACACGCAATTATAAAGGGGGTAACCAGATCATAAAACAAACGTATATAATAAAATATATACAATATATTTCCAAAATATTTTCAGCATTGGATTTATATGATTGTAAAAACAGCCACAGTGAAATCACTTTTCAAAAACATTTAGATCGTTTGTTGTTATTGTACACATAATCCCAAAACACCATATTGATGTACTTTGTTTTGTACGTCAGATCATGTACAACAATGTTGATGTGTATGGCAATACTACCGGTGACCGACTTAACTTTATAAAACGGCTCTCAAAATGGCGTATTCCGCGATACTTTGGAACTGATCTTTCGTTGATTCCGAGATCGGTGATCTTCATACATGAGTGGATGTAAGTACATGTACTAGAAACATTCTGATAATCAGCGGCTATTGCTATCTATTTTCATGCTTTTCAAATTTAA